CAGCTACCGCACACGCGCAAGTTGCGCGGCCGCCCGCAGCTTCCCCGGAGCCTGTTTCTTCAACGGAGCATGTTCAGCCTTATCAAACGGGCTGGGAGGGTAGGGCAGACCCCGTTTTCCGGGCGGGGGAGTCGGTATTAGGAGCTCTCTTGCCCGCGGAGGAGGCGCGGAGCCTGCGCGGCCAGCCGAGCAGTTTAGAAGCCGCCAACGCTCCCCCCAACGTGACCCCCGGCTCCCCCCGGAGCCCCGGAGCCGAGAGCTCCCGTTTTAGTGAGAACTAGTGACCTTTCCATGGAAAACCTCAGTTAGCGGGAAGGGGACACCGCGCAGGGCCCTCCCTGCCCCTCCGCGCCCCGCGGAGCGGGTCCCCGCCGTCCCCCCGAAGCATCTCTCTCTGGGCACCTTCGGGGGGGGGAGCCGCTCCGTGCTCTTTCCGGGGCTCATCCCCAAAAATCACTCCCCCAGCCCCCAAATGATGAGCTGACGCCCAACAGCGCGGATCTGGGGGTGTGCTGGACCACAGTGCGGGCAGCTAAAAGATAAATGTCTTTTTTTTTGTTGTTGTTTTTTTTTTTTTTTAAATATTTTTTTCTCGGTGATCGCCCCTTCCTGTCTGTTTTTTGTTTCTTATTATTTTTTTTTTTTTTCTTCTCCAACCCTACAGAACAATTCGTTGAGAAATCCTCTTGCGCCCAGCCTTTGAGTGATTTATCCAGCCTGGACCCCCACGGGGATTTTAGCACCAGCCCTTCATCCCTGTGCACCGAACCCCTCATCCCCACTACCCCCATCATCCCCAGCGAGGAAATGGCCAAAATCTCCTGCAGCCTGGAAACCAAAGAGCTCTGGGACAAGTTTCACGAGCTGGGGACCGAGATGATCATCACCAAATCCGGGAGGTAAGACAGCTTCCGAAGAGTGGCTTTGGACGGGGGTGGAAAAAGAAAAAAAGGCAAAAAAACCCCAAACCCAAGTTTTTATTTTGGGAGAGCAGCACGGATGGGCTAAGGGGAGGAGGAAGAGGGTAAAGCCCCTTAATTGGCGGTGCGCTGTGCTTCCCTAATAATTGGTTTGTTTCCCTAATAATTTCCCTCATAATTCGGTCTGTGGGTAAAAGCCCCTTGGTGCCGTGCAGTGATTTTGCAGGGCTGGGTTAGTACGGACAGAGGGAAATGCGGGGTCGTGGGGAAGCAATTAAGTCAGGACTCGGTTTGCTTTCTTTTCCTCTCGGTTGCAAGTAATGTGCGAAAGAATCCCAGGTTTTCTCCATCACCTCAAACCGTTCCTTTTCTTCAGTAATGCTTTTGGGGTTTGGGTCAGTCAAATTCAAGGTCTTGTCGGGTTTTCTAATCCTCAAAGTTATTTGTTAATGTATTTCCCTGATTTTTATTTATTTTTTTTTTCTAACTAGCGAGCTCTATCAGCCTGTGTTAAAAAAAAGTACGTCTGCAGTTTGAAGTTCAGATTTTTAAACTTTTCAAAGTTATTTAGCTTTATTTCTGGTCTATGCCAAAGCCTTAGATTTTAAAGTTGTGTTTTGCCAAAATTTAGGTGAAGAAAGGGAAGTTTACTTTTGAAAATTCCACTCAGAAATACGTGAGCGAGGCTTAAAAGAACATGCATCTAAAATATCGAATAATATTAACGGAAATAATTTCAGCAATATTTCCTTAACACTGGTATGGATCCCATTAAAAAAACCCCACGTTTCTAAGGACTTGTGTACCTTAGGCACAACTATTTTCTGAAATCGTTGTGTACTTTTAACAAACAGTAAAAAAATATTCTTCACTTTTTCACTTTTACCATTTTTTCCTCTTTGCTTACAAAAAATGGTTCTGATTTCAAGCTTCTCTTTCTGTGCGTACTAGATACACAGGATGTAATTTCTGTCATACTGAATCAGAATCAGTAGATGCTTCACTTTTTTTTTTTTTTTCCAGGTAGTTTAAATACAATTCTTAATTTTATCTGCTTTTCAGAAGCTCCGTTATTTCTGTTCTCCTTCCATGTATTTATTTTCTGATTCACCTTTATTTCAGGAGAATGTTTCCTACGATCAGAGTTTCCTTCTCGGGAGTGGATCCTGAAGCCAAATACATTGTGTTAATGGATATAGTTCCTGTGGACAATAAAAGATATAGATATGCCTACCACAGGTCTTCCTGGTTAGTGGCTGGAAAAGCTGACCCTCCGCTCCCTGCAAGGTTTGTAGATTTTACAGATGGTCTTTCTTTTATTTTCTTTACTTTTTATTTTCTTTTGGTTCAAAAAAAAAAACCCAAAAAACAAAACAACCCAACCTGCTATTAATCTTTTCATGCTGTTTGCAAACAGCGCTGAGACTTTAAGTCCCTGCTCAGCAAAGTTGATTGCAAAATTCTGATTTTCTGTGATGCAGAATCGGGCCTCAGGTCTCTGCTTGAGGTTTGATCTACACTGAATGTTCCAAGGCATGTAGGATTTGCCTAAAAGCTCAGATAAGGAAGCTTTTTTCTTTAAAAAAAAAAAAATATGTATTGGTTTAGGTTTGCCCCCCATGGTATTTGATCGCATAATTTAAAGCAATCCAAGCACCACCAGCCAAGACCAAGTAGAAACATTACATTACAGTTCAGCGCTGTTTATACTTAAGATTGTATTATTTCTTGATAACATATCCAGCATTTGTTAACCAATATTTTTATTCTTGCTTTCAGTTGTCTCTTAGACAGCAGGCAAAGCATGTGTCAACTCTAAAGCCCAGAATTTTTTTTTCTGTTACAAAATCACTGTTTTCTGAGACATTAGGAAAAAATCAAGTAAATTCACCCCCCCCCCCCCTTTTTTTCCAGAAAAAAAACACACA